ATAAGCACAAACATATCTAGGTGTGTTACAACAGCAAGAAAAATGGGAATAACCTTAATGACCAACTAGTTAAATAAGTTATTGAAAAGCTATTTTTTAGAATTTTATATATTAAAATTATACCTTCAAAGTATATTTAATAACATAGAAACAATCTTAAGTGAAAAATATGAAATTATATGGCAACATAATTAAATGGAGTGTTAAAATATGATAGAAAATATACAAATAAAATTATATCAAAATATTAATGAATGGTCCAAGGTGTGAATTTTTATTTTTGTTTTATGTCTCTGTGTTTACATTCTCTAAAATATTTACTTATTACATATACTGATCAATATATGAATTCCAATTAATGATGCAATACAGGTTTTTTTACTATTAATAATTCAGGTACTGGCAGGGCACAATTGCTCATGCCTATAATCCCAGCACTTTGGGAGGCCAAAGCAGAAGGACCAGTTGAGATCAGGAGTTTGAGTACAGCCTAAGCAACATAGCAAGATCCCGTTTCTACCAAAAAATCTAAAAATCACGTGTACATAGTACCACACCCCTACCGTCCCAGCTACTGGGAAGCTGAGGCAAGAGGATCACTTGAACCCAGGACTTTGAGGCTGCACTGAGCTAAGATCCCACCACTGCACTCCAGTCTGGGCAACAGAGAAAGATCCTGTCTCTTAAGAGAAAAAAAAATTCAGGTACTTTGGATTAAAACATTTGTGAAAACATAGGTAATAATTTTGCATTAAGCATGAACAGTTTACTACACTTCATAAAGAAAACATGCTGAATTATTTGATCTTAAACATACTAATTACTTCATTTCATCCGGTAAATATATTCAAATATTAAATTAAGATAGAATGCTATAATTTTAAAACACATTTAAAATTACTAATCTAATATAGAAGAGAAACCCCGGAACTTGTATCTACATATTAGTATTACATAATCAATTCATATAAAATGGTAAAAGACCCTGGTGATTACCTTTGACACAGCTGTCATCATCCACATTGCTTGTTGAGGATAGGCTAGAAATACTTTGGCTATTATTTCCATCAAGACAACAAAAACTTCATCATGAGAATGACAAATTCGAGAGATCAACTGTGAAAAAGCCGTCAAAAACTGATACGGAGCTAAACAGTTTGTATGCTCTGTGATAACCTTGTTTATTTTACCCAAATCATTCCTCATTTGTACACGATCAGAGCGGCCAGCTGGGGGTAAAAAAAGTTTAAAAAACATTTAAGGAAAAAGAAAAATCAATACATCAGTTCATTTCACAGAAGAAAAATTTTGTTTTAAAAATAGCTTTAAAATATGTTATTTCCATACCCAAACCTAGATCAGTTGCCAATTTGTGAAAAGACAGTTGTCTCTGTCCAACTAGAAAAAATATTTAAAGTCATTTCAAAAACCCAAGGGACATTAATGTTCACCACCCATTTTAAGTTTTAGGGTAAACTATTTGGCTAAAACTAATACTTTTAATATGTGTTAGGTTCATCAAGAAATAATCGATTTTTACTTGAAGCCCTGAATTATAACTACTTTAAAAGTCTATGATTTGTCTTTCCTTTCCTTTTGAACATTTAGTTTCTTACTCACACTTACATAACATCTTAATTATCAAATGCCTTCTAAGCTTTTAGGAATTTAGACTGTCCAGCCAATTCTGACTTTATACCAAAGTTGTAATTCCTAGTCCTTTAAAATTTTTATGTGAAGAGTTATACCTTTTTCCCATTCATATGCCTTTGTACCATAATCAAGCCATAGTGTTAACATTCGTGGCATTGACTGATATATGAACTGATTTCCATATTGTAGAGATCTGCAATTATATAAAAGAGGAACATTATTAGCATAGCTTCTTAATATAAATTAAAATTTAAAGGTTCAAACAACCACATCAGTTATATATATCCTTTTCACAAAAATTATGGTATAAATATTTCTTCCTATAAGTTATTTTTGACTCCTCTTTCTACTTTTTTATTATATTCCTCATTTAGCTCTATATTCCTTGTATCAAAAACATGTACACACACTATGTTTCCACTTACAGTATATGTACAAATATACATATACATATACAAATATACATATACATTGAACATATTGCATAATGTATAAATTCTGCTCTAATCAAAATCTATCAATACTTCTTTTAATCTTTCCTTAGGATCTGTGTGCCTTCATTTGCATTCTTTGGCCATAAGCCTAGGTCAGGTCCAATCATTTAATTTATGGGAAATTATAGTCACCTAATTCCACATTTCTTCCCTTCAATAAACTCCAGACTAATATTCTTGAAATTCTGGCTTTATCATGCTCTCCTTTTATTCAAAAATAGGAATCAATATCTACATATTAAAACTATATGAATGATTCTGCCTGGGAGAAAATTAATTGGACGTGGTGGTGTGCACCTGCAATTCCAGCTACTCAGAAGGCTAAGGCAGGAGAATTGCTTCAACCTGGGAGGTGGAGGTTGCAGTGAGCTGAGATCACGCCACTGCACTCCAGCCTAGGTGTCAGTGTGAGACTTCATCTCAAAAAACTTGTGTGTGTGTGTGTGTGTGTGTGTGTGTGTGTGTGTGTGTGTGTCTCCATGAAATTTAGGGTCTTCTGAAACTCTACAGTTGGAGACTCAGGGGATGAGGGTCTGGAATGGGAAGGATACTTAATTTGGTACTGTTGAATTTTTAAAAAATACATGCTGTGGTATTACAACGCATACACTGGTTTTAGTTCAGTTACTGGCTCCTAACTCCTTGTTATAATGTCAGGGCACTTTAGGCCTCAGGAAACAGAATCTCTCTCTATAAGATTCTCTTGTCCTTCACTCACCAGCCCAAGGCAGGATTCTAATCTGACTGTGGGTCGAAAGATCCTCATTCCATGCTGGGCGCCATAGCTCACAACTGTAATCCCAGCACTTTGGGAGGCACCGGTAGGTGGATCACAAGGTCAAAAGTTTGAGACCAGCCTGACCAACATGGTGAAATGCTGTCTCTACTAAAAAAAAATTAGCCAGGTGTGGTGGTGAGCACCTGTAATCCCAGCTACTCAGGAGGCTGAAGCAGGAGAATCGCTTGAACCAGGGAGGCAGAGGTTGCAGTGAGCCGAGATCATGCTGCTGCACACTGCCTGGGTGACAGAGTGAGACTTCGCCTCAAAAAAAAAAAAAAAAAAAAAAAAAAAAATCCTCATTCCAGAGACGATCCTGCCCCATACCCTAGAAGACGGAATGCTATATAAAAGAGGCCAAGAAAAGTTTGAACATACAGGCCTTGCTGGGTTTACATTATGAGCTTTTTGTCCACTCACATTTGTACATGGTTGTCAATCATATCCATGTAATAAAGACTCCATTAAAAACCCCACAGGACACGGTTTGGAGAGCTTCCAGAGAGTTGAGCACATGGAGGCTGACAGGAAGGTGATGAAGACCTCATCCGTGTGCCAGGAGGATGGCACATCCCATCTCCATAAAGACAGAAGCTCCTGTGCTGGAACCCTCCAGAACGTACCCTATGTAACTCTTCATCAGGCTGTTTATCTGTATTCTTTAAAATATCTTTCTTAATAAACCAGTAAACGTGTTTCCCTGAGTTCTGTGAGCTGCTCTAGCAAATTTATTGAACCCAAGAGGAGGTTGTGAGAACCCCAACTTGAAGCCAGTTAGTCAGATGTTCCAGAGGCCCAGACTTGCAACTAGGGGAAGGAAGGGACAGTCTTGTGTGACTAACTCCTCAACTTTTGAGGAATGACACTGTCTCCAGGTGGAATGTCAGAGCAGGCTTGGAGGACACCAAGCTGGTGTCCACTGGTTGGTATATGGGGGAAAAAAACCCCACATCTTTGGTCACGGAAGTCTTCTACCGTGTTGATGATTTTGTGTTGGTGTGAGAGCAGAGGAATAACATGGTTAGAGAGACTTTTTCCAAAACACATGCCTATCACTTTTAAATGAAAAATAACTTTTTTCGTTTAAAAAATTAGTTCTTAAAGTGAAGAAAAAAGTTGCATAAAGAAAAAATTTACATCTTATCTAAGGTGATATACTGAATAAGTGATAAGCCAGAAAATACCTAGAATATGCTAAGACATGTGATAAGTCTCAATATTAATAGTCATCCTTACATATTTAATCTGCAAACATGCAGTTCTCACACTCACCTGCCAAAATGAAGAACTATATACCAGATGAGATCACCTTGCTTTTCCATTTTGTTGTCTGTGACCATGGGCATCAATTTGTCATAGTACTTGGCAAGGTAGAAATGCCCATCCTCCCATTCTGGCAGGCATGCAGTCACATCCTGTAAAAAAGAACACAGGATACTCACCTAAAGAAATCTCACATTATGCTGGGAAGTAAAGTATGAATAGATGATTAGGGATCAAAAGTATGTGACCTTTATCTAGGCAAAGCAAAGACAAAAGCAGACTCAATTTTTGATATGGATAAGGAAGAGCTATCTTCTTACAAAGGCTTTTTCAGGAGAGCTGACTGGTTCTGGTGGGCTCTCCACTGTCCAGCACGAAATAGTGCTGGAAGAATTCGCAACTTAGGAGAAGAAAATTCCATTTATATTACCACTTTAAAAGATATATCAAAGTAGTGTCTAGATGGGTTAAAGTGGGGTGTGTGTGTGTGTGTGTGTGTGTGTGTATGTGTATAGATATATATCATGAAAGGCATTTTAAAAAATCCTCAAAGCAGAAGTAATATCAAATCTCTAAAGAGGGTAGGACTTTAAAAAGCAAAAAATTATGCTAAAATAAAAATCAGGTATACTGGTTTTCTCCAAGATCTCTCACAAGTTATTGCCTTTCTCTCAACTCCTTCAGAAGCAGGCTTCTAGAAAGAATTTCTCCACCTCACATTCATTCCTAAAACTATTTCTTTTCAGCTTCAGTCTTCATCACTTCACTAAGGAGCTCCTTAAATCCAAGAGACATTTTACAGTTCTTTTATCATTTGAACTCTCTTCAATATCTGTTTCTGTTGCCTGAGCCACTTCTTTCAAATGCTTTCATCCCTTGACTTCTGTCAGGCCACTGTCTTCCAAGTTTTCTCCTCTCTTTCTGGCCACACTCAGTCTCCTTTGTTATTTCTTCTTGATGTTCCTGACTTAAACATTTGTGTGGTTTATTAATTTTTAATATTTTATATGAAATGTGATAGGAAATACATAGGATCATTGACCATTTTTTTTTAATGAAGTTCTACTTTTAATCGAAACAAATTTAAGAACATAGTTTAGACCAGAAACCTTAAGTGAGACCCTGAGTTTCTACTGATTCTAATCTTGAGACTCTACAGACACAAACCTGCCTGGGAATACAGGACAGAAAGACATGATTAGATGTGTGGTACATGCTAGGTTCATGCACCTAACCAGCCACACAGGGCAAGGGCTGCCAGAAAAACATATTAGTCAATCTGGTCTTTCCTTCCTTTCTTCCTTTCCATCTGTCTTCCTTTCTTCCTCCCCATCTGTCTTCCTTTCTTCCTCCTCCCCTAACTTCCTTCCTCTTACCACTCTCATTTCAGCTTAGATTTTAAATATTTATTTTGAAAAGTAAAATTCATACAGAAAAATATACAAATTTTACATTTACAGCTTGATCACTTATTACAAAGTAATTACCTTTATATAAAAGCTCCTCCCTCCCTCTCTACTGCTCTCTCTCTCCCCATTTTAAGATTTTTAACTTTTCTTTTGAAAAATAAAGTTTATATACAGAAACATACATGAATCTCATGTGTACAACTTGATCACTTATCACAAATTGATCATCCTCATACAAGAACTCCAGTTTTGTTTTGTCTGTTTTTGAACTTTTAAATAAACAGAATCATACTATAATAATTATTATTAGAGACAAGGTTTTGCTCTGTTGCTCTGGCTGAAGTGCAGTGACATGCTCATGACTCCCTGCAGCCTTGGCCTCCTAGGCTCAAGGTGATCCTTCCTCCTCAGTCTATGGAGCAGCTGAGACTACAGGCATACACCACCACACCCAGCTACTTTTTGTATTTTTTTTTGTAGAGATGGGGTTTTGCCATGTTGCCCAAGCAGGTCTTGAACTCCTCAGCTTAAGCAATCCACCCGCCTCAACCTCCCAAAGTGCTGGGATTATAGGCATGAGCCACCATGCCTGCCCCTACATGTATTATTTTTTAACTGGCTTCTTTCATTCAATGTTACATTTGTGATATTAATCCAAGTTGTTGCATATAAATTAGGTTTACCAAATAGTTATCCATTATAAGAATATGTTACAATGTATTTATCCACTCTGTAACTGAATGCCATTTGGGTTACTTCCAATATAAAATTTACAAATAATAATGTTATAAACATTCTTGTATATATCCTATGGGGACATGCTGGGTCATATTCTGGATATGAGCCTCTAATATATTGGAAATATCTTTTTTTTTTTTTTTTTTAAGACGGGGTTTCACCATGTTGGTCAGGCTGGTCTTGAACTCCCAACCTCGGGTGATCTGCCCGCCTTGGCCTCCAAAGTGCTTGGATTACAGGCATGAGCCACCACACCCAGCCGGAAATATCTTCTAATCTGTAGCTTGCCTCTAACTCACAATAGTATCTTCTGATAAACATAAATTATTGTTTATTTTATGGTTAATGATTTTGTTATGTTTAACTTCTGACCTAGATTAACAATCTACCTAAAGTTTACTTTTGTTTATGGTGGGAAGAAGGCATCAAGTTTGATTTTTTTTTTCTTGTAAGATATCCAAGTGATACAACAACATTTACTGAAAAGACTATTTTGGTTATTCACTGTTTGTCACTCAAGACAGATATACTTGCCATGTTTAGCCTTTTCCACTCTGCTCAGTGGCCCAGGAAATTGAAATTTATGATTTATATCAATGGGCCTGTTTGCCCTCTGGCTTCCTGTCAAGTTCAATCAATGGAAGGCAGTAGAGGGTGAGGAGGAGAGTGAGGTTAAGGTCTTTGTACCTGCTGATTTCCTTTCTGCTGGACTGCAGTTGACAGTGGTTGTGTTTCATTCCCTAAGGTTAAATTCTGGCCCAGTGGCCCTTTCCTACAAATTTAGCTCTCTTTACAGGTTTCAGTAAACACCCTATCCTTTTGCTCCTTCAGGTCTAGAATTAGCAATGATTCTCTGTTGTTGCTAGCTATGGGGTAGTTTCACCATCCTTTGTTAATTTTCCTTAACCTAGTTTTTCATTAACTCTCCCCAGTTACGTCTTTTGATTGGGCCAACTATTTTCTCCCTGCACCTGACCTCACACAATATAGTAAAGAGCATCTCAGATAGATTGGAGGAGACTAAGGAGATATGACAACTAATGCTATATGGGATTACCAATTCTAGACAGCAAAAGGACACTATTGGGAAAACCAGTGAAATGTGGTTGACCGATAGTTAACAGTGTTGTTTATCAATGTTAACTTCCCACTTCTGATACTACGGTAGCGTAAGATATTACAATTAGGGAAACCTGGCAAAGGGTGGATATGGGAATTCTCTATACTACTAGCAACATTTTAAAAATCAAAGATTATTTCAAAATAAAACAAAAAATTAAAGGTGACAGAAAAGCTTCCTGGTTATTCTTGGCCTTTATGTTTCCACATAAATTTTGAATTCTAATTGTCAATTACCTGTTAGCATTTGGTGAGTACTGTATTAAACCCCTAGGTCAATTTACGGTGAAATAATTATGTTACTGAGTTTTCCCACTCATGCATGTATTCTAGCTACCAATTTATTTAGGTCTTTTTTACTTCACTCACTAATGTTTTAATTTTTATTTTTTGGAGAGGTCTTATGTGCAATTTAATCCTAGGTATTCCATATTTTTATTGCTATCCTAAATGATATCTTTAAAAATTTTAAGCTGGGCATGCATGGTGGCTCACACCTATAATCCCAGCACTTTGGGAGGCAGAGGCGGGAGGATCAGTTGAGGCCAGGGAGTTTGAGACCAGTCTTGGCAGAACAGCAAGACCCTATCTCCACAAAATCCAAAATTAGCTGGGTGTGATGGTGTGTGCCTACAGTCCCAGGTACTTGAGAGGTTAAAGTGGGAGGATCACTTAAGCCCAGGAGCTAGAGGCTGCAGTGACCCATAATCATGCCATTGCACTCCAGCCTGGGTTGATAGCACAAGACCCTGTCTCAAAAATAAAATAAAATAAAAATTTAAATCAACTTTCTCAAGGCAGAACTTTCATACAATAAAATTTACACATTAAGTACAAACTGATAACTTTTGACAAACATATATATCCATGGAACCATCATTCCAGTCAAGAAAATGAACATTTCTAACTCTCTCCAAAGTTCTTATGGGCACCCACCCTTGCCATCACTCTCCTGCCAACTACCCAGGCAACTACTGATATAATTTCTATCCATATACATTAGTTGTACCTGTTCTAAAATGTCACATCAATGGAATCATACAAGCATGCTGTCTGTTATGCCCCTCTTCTTTCTTTCAGCATATCTGTGACATTCATCTACCTTGTTGCATGTACTAGTAGTTCATTTCTTCTTACTGTAGAGTAGTATTCCACTATACAGCTATATCACAGTTTGTTTATCCATTCTTCTGAGAATGGCCAGCTGGTCTATTTCCAGTTTTTGTGACTAAAGCTACTATAAACAATTGTGTACAAGTCTTTTTATTGACATATGTAATTGTTTGTGTTGAATAAACATCTAAGAATGGAATGGAATACAGTAGATTTAAGTTAACTTTTTATATTCCCACCAGGTGCATTTATTGCATTAATAGGTACTCCTAGTCTCTTAGACTTTAGCCAGTTTAGAGTATAATGTGTTATATCATTGTGGTTTTAATTTGCATGTTCCTAATGACTAATGATGTTAAGCATCTTCTCATTTGCTTTTTGGCTGTTTCTATGTATTCTTTACGAAGTGCCTATCCAAGACTTTTGCAGATCTTTATATATATTTTTAATAGACAAAGTTTCACTCTGTAACTCAAGCTGGAGTGCAGTGGTGCAATCATAGCTAACCGTAGCCTCGAACTTCTAGGCTCAAGTGATCCTCCTGCTTCAGTCTCCTAAATAGCTAAGAATATAGGCATTCATCACCATACCCAGCTAATTATTAAAGATTTTTTGTAAAGACAGGTTCTCACTATATTGCTCAGGCTGGTCTTGAACTCCTGGCTTCAAGTTATCCCTGGGCCTTGGCCTCCCAAAGCACTGGAATTACAGAACTGAGCCACTGTCTCTGGTATCATAGATCTTTAAATTGTCTTACAAAGTTGTAGGGTTCTCTATAATTTAGATGCATATCCTCTGTCATATATACATTGCAAGTATTTTCTCCCAGTCTAAGGCTTATCTTTTCATTTTCTTAACTGTCTTTCTTAGAAAAGGTTTTAACTTTGATGAAAATCTAATTTATTGGGTTTTTTTGTTTTTTAAATGCTTAATGCTTTGTGTGACCTAAGAAAACTGTCTAACCTAAGGTTGTAGAGATTTTCTTCATCTAGAAGTTTATAATTTTAGCTTTTCAGTTTAGATCTATAACCCACTTTTTTTTTTTTTTTTGGAGACAGAGTCTTGTTTTGTTGCCAGGTGCCAGGCTGGAGTGCAGAGGCACAATCTCAGCTCACTGCAACCTCCGCCTCCCGGGTTCGAGCAACTCTCCTGCCTCAGCCTCCCGAGTAGCTGGGACTACAGCCACCATGTCCAGCTAATTTTTATATTTTAGTAGAGACAGGGTTTCACCATGTTGGCCAGGATGGTCTCGATCTCTTGACCTTGTGATCCGCTCACCTTGGCCTCCCAAAGTGCTGGGATTACAGGCGAATGGCCAATCCACTTTTTTTGAAGCAGTTTTATCTATGGTAGGAGGTAGAGGTTGAAGATCATTTTTTTCCTCCCAGATATCCAACTGTTCAAGCACTTTTTGCTTGTAAATGGTATGTTTCAAATTCCTTTCTTGTTGTCATATAGAAATAAAATCATCAGGCAATCTTGTTTAACTCACTCAGTATTTTGAATAATTTATTTATAATTGTTTGAATTTTCTCTTTTCCTTTTTTTTTTTTTTTTTTTTTTTTTTAGACAGAGTTTCACTCCTGTTGCCCAGCTGGAGTGCAATGGCTCGATCTTGGCTCACCGCAACCTCCACCTTCCGGGTTCAAACGATTCTCCTGCCTCAGCCTCCCCAAGTAGCTGGGATTACAAGCATGCACCACCATGCCCAGCTAATTTTGTATTTTTAGTAGAGATGAGGTTTCTCCATATTGGTCAGGCTGGTCTCAAACTCCCTATCTCTCAGGTGATCCGCCCGCCTCAGCCTCCTAAAGTGCTGGGATTACAGGCATGAGCCACCGTGCCCGGCTTGAATTTTCTATATATGTATGTATTCTTATCATCTTCAATTAATAAATATCCTATTTTTTTTTACTAGTCCTTGTATCTTTTACTTCCTTTTTTATCTAAAAATTGCCATTTGTATAATATTTTAAAATAACAGCTCTACTGGGATATAATTAATATATTATAAAGTTCATACTTCTAAAGTTGTTTTTAGTATATTCTCTGAGTTGTGTAACTATCACCACTTTCTAATTCCAGAACACTTTCACCACTCCAAAAAAAAAAATTGTACCAATTAGCAGTTACTTCCCAGTTCCAAGCCTCAGCCTCCGGTACTCATTAATTTATGTTCTGTCTCTATGGATTTGCTTATTCTGGCCGTTTCATGTAAGTGCAATAATGCAGTATGTGGCCCCTTGGATCTGCATGTCATTCTACAGTAGTCAGCGTCTATTCTTTTCTCTGCTCATTTCTGTCTACATCATGTATATGCAACCAGAACA